AGATCGGGGGGGGGGGGGGTTAAAATTACAAAGAATGTTTATCACGGGTATGTTATCATTATCGTAAGACAAAAGGTGGACTAGTCAAATGCTTTACGGACTAGTGAAAACTGGAAGTCACTAGTCCGTACGGACTAGTGCTTACAAAAGTTAATTTCGAACCCTGCATGTGTAATGGCAATATTAAGTCACATGCCACATGTCGGTGGTCAGATATGGATACTTTGTAAGCTATTTTTGAGTGAAAAAGAAGAAGAAAAAATTTATTTATTTAAAAAAAAATGTGTACAGACACTATGAAGTTATGTCAAATCATAAATCTGATAAATAAGTCACGGAATACGGATGCACGGAAATACGAAATTAATGTTACAAAATACGGAGAAATCACGGATAGAGTTTTTATGTACGGAATACGGAAAGGTTCCTACAAAATCCGTTAACTTGACAGTTTTACGGAAAAATGCCCGCGGTAAAAAGAAGCCTCGTAGGAAGCAGCCAAGGCCTAGGGATGTAGAATATGACTATCCTGAAGATAGTGCTGGCAAAAAAGCAAAACATGAAGCAGGGCGACCATTCCGTGAGAGAGGAAACAGCTGATGTCCGTGATATCCGTGCAAGTGTTGAATCCGTGGGTGTAACAATCACGGATGAATCACTTGGACGGATTAACGGAACCGTAGATAACGGATGGCTCGATGACATCGTAATCGATGCTGCTCAAAGTATTCTAAAAAAAGAAAAATTTCCCCTTCATTGCCGGCTTTCAGCCTTGTGTCTATGCTGAAAAACCGTGCTTCCGTCCAGTTGTTGACAATTATATTCAGATCGTTAATACACACCCTAAAAGTGGTGGTCAACATTGGATAATGTTCACTACTATAATGTTGTACCAAGTGCCGCCAGTGGTTTCATCCACGATGTCAAAATACGACACTTAATGAAGAACAAATTAGAAAGTCTAAAACAATCAAATGTATGGATTGTAAGAGTTCATAAATGATATTTATCCTATAAATCTTTGTTTTTCAATTTTGTACGGAAGCCCATTAGTGCCAACTTGTATATATAAAGGAAAAGCAATATATAAAAGCAAACCTCAATATATAAAGGAAATGCGATATATATAAACAAAACCTCGATATATATAAAGAAAATGCGAAATATATAAACAAAACCTCAATATATATAAAGAGAAATGCGAAATATATAAACAAAACATCGGTATACATAAAGGGTAATGCAATATATATAAAGAAAAAATTTCCATCGCCTGACCTTTAATGACCTTCGTGATTCGCCAACATCTGATAAGCGGCTCCCTGGGGTACTGTTTGAGTGAAAACGGTAGATGTGGCTCAGTTTCAGGATGGTTTTCAGTGTACGTAGTGCGTTTTCTTTGTGTGTCTTAATATGATGATTTAAACTAAAGTTTATAAATATGACTGCTGTTATTCTTACATTTCAAACGTGTGAGGCAGAATAAAATCAAAACTTTTTTGCTCGATATGTTTATTTCATGGCAATAAAACTTTGGGGTATTTCAATTGAAATATAATTCAGTGCAAAAATGCATGTCTGTGATATCATATTTTATCTAAACAATAAAATGTTAGTACGGAAATTAATGTCGCAGCTGTTGCAGAAAAAAAAAACATAACAAGCGTAAGCGGGTTATGTAATTTTTTTCTGCAATAGCTGCGACGTTAATTTCAGTACTAACAACCAAAGAAAGACATTTTTATTGTTTATATCTATATCTGTATAAATAATAATTTAAAAGTAGGATTAAAAAGATTAATTGTTGTATTATTGATATGTACGTCATAGTACGTTTCATTACTGGAACAGCCATTGCTCAAGAAATCTGTACATGTGATATGCCTAGTGTTGTTCATGAACTGATAAACGGCAATGGTTTTCTTAAGAAATAAAGGAGAAAATATTCAGTGGATGTAAATATAAGTATGTTCACATTTTACTTTGTTTTGCATATGATTGCATGGAGAATTCAAAATTGATAACATTACAAGATTTTGACAGGGGTTGTTTCCGACATTTTGTTACTAAATTATAACGCCATTATTCTATTTACATGTTTAGTAATATTAAAAACGTGGAACAATAATCCGCACTATAATTATGTAAGTGTGCACTAACTCGTTTCCTTTTATTCATTCCCAAATACATGATATTTTTCACACCAAAGATCCTTAAATTATTACACGTATTTTGTACGTTGTATCCTCCTTAAAAATTAGTTTAAAATACATGTCTTTGTAAATTATTTCATGATTTGTACCTTGATCTTTAATGGAGAGAACTAATATAGGCCATTTTTGCCTGCTGTTCAATCTATATTCATTGTATATACTTCTATGTATATCGTGAATAAAATACTTCTTAAACTTAAATTATTACAGTTGTAACTGTCGCCTTCTTCTCTCAAAATCCGATCCTCCCTCGCATTCAGATGAAGGGCGTGGGGGGACTAGCACCTTCATTTTTCCCCTCTCTCCCATTCCGATTCCTTTTTTTTTTACAATCAATGGGCATATACTAGTATATTATTTTTTATAATAAATTTAAATTAATTGGCATTAAAAAAATAACTGAACTTGTTAAGACTCCATGTTGAACATTATTTTCATAAATTCTCGGTTGTGAAACCAAACGTAATACGGCTAAATTTTGTAAAACAGTAAACAAGGTAGTTGTAAAAAGGAAGTTGATCAAAATACATGTAAAGCCAATAAATACACAGAGAATACGATAAACATACTTATATTTCATGAATATATAATTAAATGCTCATCTACTCAATTAAATGCATTATATTAAGTAATTCTACAATTACATGTACAGTTCATCGATATACGCATGTATAAATAAACAAACACTATCAAATAGCACAATTCTGCTGATTCTGGGAAAGCAATACAAGAGTACTGTAAAAACGATTTCCCCCTGTCAAGAGTTAATCTGTATATAATCTTGATGGACAGCTGAGCGATACAGGTCACGTAGTGGAAAATTTTTTTCTTTATATATATCGCATTTCTCTTAATATATATCGAGGTTTTGTTTATATATTTCGCATTTCCTTTATAGCGAGCGCCGCTCGTCACTGCGAGCTCTTAAAGCAACGCCTGGGCGAAGAGAAAATTCGGACTTTACACATTGATCCAATTGAATTTTTTTCCGCAGTTACCTGTGGTCCCATAATGCTTAGCGAATTGCATCTCGCCGCAAACAACGTTCTCGCGGTAGCAATAAAAACTCGACAAAAATTAAAATCACCTTGATATAATGGATATAAAGCAGATACATAGTAGATCAAACGTTCTTGATTAAAATTAGCACTGTTCAGACTTCGTTTTGCTAATGCAACATACATACGACGTCATATGACGTCAGAGTCTAGACGCAGAAAATGTCACGTGCTGTTTGACGAGCCCGATCTAAATTAAAACTGAAAGGTATCTGCGCTCGCCCAAACGGTTGCACCGTCAACATATTATATATCCAGGTTTTGTTTATAGCGAGCGCAGCGAGCGGCGCGAAGCGCCGCTCGCGAAGCGAGCTCAGTAGACTAACGTGTAAGAACAGAGAAAATTCTGAATGAAATCTGTACATACGTCAGGCAAATTTTCTGGTGCAACATTCCCAGAATTCCTTCGCTACCAGGGTTCCATGCGAAATTCTTACAAAAACATACAAAATACCAAGGATAATCATTCATTACCGAGAGATACGTTTACTTTTCTTTCTTTGCAGAGAGCTTAACAGAAACAAAAAATAATTACATCTACTCTACAACGTATTTCATTTACTATTGCACAAGATCTTTAGTCTCGTTCAACCAGACGCTCGGCTGTCTCCGTAAATTCCGACGTCATGTGACGTCACAGTCTAGACTGTGTCTCGTGAGGTTTGACGTTTGAAGAGACGGATCAACGTTACAAGTGTAAGCTGCTATATAGCTTTTTGATGGTACAACTGCGCTCGCCCCAACGGTCACACCGTAAAACATATTATATATCGCATTTCCTTTATATATATCCAGGTTTTGCTTATATATTTCGCATTTCCTTTAAATATATCCAGGTTTTGTTTATATATTTGCATTTCCTTTATATATATCCAGGTTTTGTTTATATATTTCGCATTTCCTTTATTTATCCCATGTTTACCCCTTTATCCCGTGGATATGACTCATTGGATAATTTTTTCATAATCCACAGTTGTGACGTCACAATGGTTTTTGCGTTAGCGCGATGAAGTAAAATAAAGTGGAGTCCTATATAAAACAGTGTAAAACATTGGTTGTGAAGTATTAAACATGGGATAAAAAGAATCTCCCATGATTTGTAGTTGGATATGACTTTTATCCAACTCGTTGTGTGTTTTTATCCCCTCGCCAAGGCTCGGGGATAAAAAAAAACACACAACTCGTTGGATAAAAATCATATCCAACTACAAATCATGGGAGATCCTATATATATATCCAGGTTTTGTTTATATATTTCGCATTTCCTTTATATATATCGGTTTGCTTTTATATATTGCTTTTCCTTTATATATACAGATTGGCACTAATAGACTTCCGTAATTTTGTTAACATTTTCTCCGGATAAATAAATTCCGTGCATTGTTTTATTTTTAATTATAGAACTCACGGAATAATATTCACAAATGATACAAGGTATAATTTTTTAAATGTACGGAGATGCACGGACGAATTTATCATCCGTGCAAAAACAATCCGTGATTAATGATTTGTACTATTTTCTATATTTCCGTACATTCTGTGACCTGTCCGTGTTTTGTAAATGGGGGGAATTTTTGGTAGTTGACAATTCTCCCCCCCCCCCCCAAAAAAAATTGCTTCCTACGAGTCTGAGTACACATTTACTATAGCTATCCGGAATATGTATGTCACCTAATATTCTATTATTATGTAAGATGTTAAATTTCCGGTTTCATGACCATAACGGCATCAGCCTATCAGGCACAGCATGATGATGATTGGACAATTGACAGCCAAATTCTAACCAAGAAAATGGGTGCAGAAACAAGTTTATTTGAAGAATGTGAGTTAGACGAACCAGCAGATACTTTAAACTGTACCTGGTCTTTACGACACGGGATATACAATGAGGAACTCGACGTCACCGTCCTGTCGGAGGCAAAAAACAACAAGCAGAAATGGAGTTTGCTACAGAAAAATATAAAGGTGCGAAATGTTAACTGGTCTTATATAATATCCAAGTCATTGTTATTCACCAGAAGGAAATGTATATTGTTGCAGCCTCTCTCTCTCTCTCAAAAAAAAAAAAAAAAAATGAAAAAATGATTTGCATTACTCTGTTACTTGCATTACTCTTCACTAAATGGGCTAGGGCTCGATCTTGAAAAACTTGGTTTTATAAGATAGTCATACATCCCAGCAGTAGATAGACATAAGAAAATATATATGTTATCTTGTTTATATCACTGCTATTGCCTCTTGGCTGGAAACACAAAATATAGAAACTTCATGACGGTACCAGTCCACTTTTTGTCTATAAATAAAAATTAAAATCTAGACTGTCTACTCTAATACACAAAATAAATTAGAAACATGTGATTAAACCATATTCAATTATTGTTTTGTGTGAATTATTATAAATAAGTGCACTTTATAAGGCTAAGATATCAAAATGTAATACGAGAATATGCTACATAGGTCAATTTCATACATGCCAACTTTCCCTATTTTTTCAGGAGTCTACCGATTTTGAGCCCTATCTACTGATATATTTTTAAAATCCCATTTCCACCTATTTTTAGGAATTCCGGATTTTTTACCAATCCGCTTTGAATAATACTGCATTTCTGTGTGTAAAAATATGGCAGTTCAAATATTTATCAGTATTTATCTGTTTATTGCTGCTGGATAACTGGTAATCAACAAGGTGTCAACTGTGCTATCAGTCATTATTGTGGTTTTAATTGCTTCAGGTTCTCATTAACAGTGTATATTAACCTAGACAATTATACCAGATGTAGAAATTTTAGAAATACACATGACAGGATACAAACTTGTGAGAGTTCACACTTTACAGCAAAATTTGACAATATACGTATAAGCCGTTTATAGAAGGTTTTCAAGTTAAGGATAAATGAAAAAGACACTTTCAAAATCTAACATTAAAAGATGGTCTGCAAGTACAAACTGTTAGCTTTTTAGCAGAATTTCAGGAGTGGCTCAGAAAAGTTAGAAAGAAGACCATATGCCTTTTGCAGACTTTGTATGAAAAACATTAAAAGTGACTTCTTCTAAGTATTCCCTTTGATTTAAAGAAATAAAATAAAATTATGTGTCTGAGACTTACTAATGATTTTTAAACCCCTGCAAACAAAGTCTGGGAGGTAAAAGGAATCACCTTGTCTGTTTGTTTGTATGTCTTTGCAAACGTGTCAGGTCCATATCTTTCTTATGGAGAAACATTAGAATCTACTACTTCGCACAAAGATTGTTCATTACCTGAGGGTGTGTCATGAACTTGACCCAAGATCATTTGGGCAAGTTCAAGGTCACTGAAAGAAACATTTTGTAATTCAAGTCTGGTCCATATTCAAATATACATGGTTTCATTCATTACAATGTAAAAAAATATAATGTGCAATAACCTGTAAATTTTCCCTCAAAATGTTTAAACAAACTATGAACACCTCTTAGATCCATTAAATACTAGTATAAGTGACTTGGCAGCTTCTCTGAAAAACCCAGCAGGGGTATTTGTCCATTTTGGACAGTTCTAGTTCATACTAATTGTTAGGCCATTATGTACACACTGAATTGTCTACTGATTTTCCCATTTTTCCTGATCATGGTGGATGCGACCAGTCGGCAGGGGATGCTTACTCCTCCATGGCACCTGATCCGATCTCTGATGTTTTTGGAGGTCTGTGTCTGCTCTGATCCTGATTTGTATTGTTTATATGGACTTGAACACTGTTTGTTATCTCCATATTAATACCTACACCACAGGAGATATGCGTACATCAAACATTATAAGGAATGGAAAAATCATTGAAATCTTTAAATTATCAAGGTTGACTTGACTTTTATGCACTCTAAAATGTTTATGATAATTGAACAATATTTTACAGGCGTATCATGCTGTGGTGGAGCACTTTATTGACAAGTAGGGGTAAAATTTATGGTCAGTCAGGAAAGTGGATTATATTCTTATTATGGAATCGAGCAGAGCTCAAATGCCATCTAGCCAGCATCCAGTTAAATTGCCACTGGAAGTTATGCAACCAAAAGTGTCAGTAAATAAAGAAAATAGCAATTAATAAATTTTTTCGAAAATTTTCGCAATGAATAATAAATTGAGCAAAGCTCATTACAAGGCAACGAGTATGTCTTCTGTCCGATTTTCAGAAGACTGCTTGTAAGATGGATAAATGAAAGTAAAGTATTCATTAAAAAGAAGGCTTCCAGACCAAAAATAATGTCGATCTGTATTTAGTTTTTTTATGATTGAAATCTATGCTGATTATCTTTAAATAAAGCAAATCAAGACTACTTTCGGTTTGACTGGAAGTGACCCCAATCGACAGAAAATTGGGTCAGAAGTCTTGGGTGAATTTAATCATTTGATTATATGTTGATATCTGCAGAAATACATCATTTATAGTTACTTCCGGTTTAAATAGAAGTTGACAAAAGTGACGATACTCAACAGGAAATACAATCAGACGTTGTCTGCAATATGCATAATTCAATTCAATACCAATATCTGTGAAAATAAGCAATTTTCTACTAATTCCTGTTTGGCCGGAAGTGACGTCATTCAATGCATTTTGATGATCTCACAAGCTGCTACTTGTCATGTTGAACAACTTTGCTTCTTTGAAGTATTACAAATTCTCAATACTTTTTGATATATCAGGAACAAACTTTTGGCCCCTCTAGATCCCTTATTTTAGGGGCCAGCCCTTTTTTCGAGATATCATTTTAAAAATCTTGTAATTCTGCACAAATTTTGTTCTATATGTTTTAATAAAATATTTCCAAGTAAAAAGATATCGTACAGAAGGTGTTTGAAATTTTGAAATTCTCGATATGACTTTTTTCAGGCCATAGCGAGCGTCGACATGTGGCCTTCTGGTGAAAGTTAACTACGTATTACAGATCTACATATGTTGCTCTGTCTTCACTTAAAGTTTCACATTCCCCTGATGAATGGTTTCTTAGAAAACCTGCGGACAAACTGACCCTCCCAAATTCACTTAATTGCAAAAAATCTTCGGACCGGAAGTGATGTCATCAAAATAAAAAATATGTATCAAGATTTTTTAATGTTCTATCAGACCTGAAAGTTTCATGAAAATGCGAGCAAACCGTTTCTGAGAAATCGTGTGCACAAAATCAGTAAGAAAAAAAATAATTAGAACTAGCGCAATGTACCAGCTATCATCGATGTTTACCATGCGCTCATTCCCTGAAGTAACGAGTGTCAGGCAGATTAATTTTTTTTTTCTTATAGTGCGGAATTATTGGATGAAAACTAGCCAGCTATATTTTGTGCAAGTACTAGTAGATTTACATTGGAATTTGTTACATGAGTTTTAAAAATAACGGTTAGCAGAGAAAATAATCTGTTACTGATAAAAACTAAGAAAAAAAACTATTGTGTTTACTTCCTTTATTCTTTATGCATTCAACTTTCTATTCTATGCAATTCCAAATACAGACATGTCTGTGTAATCTTTTTCTGTACTTCTACACTACTGCATCAGACCATTTGTTAAAGGCGGGTCAAGATACATTATTTTGCTCCAAACATCATCAGTAAATCTTTGCGCCTTTTCTTTGGAATATGTCTTCAATTGAATAAGTGTACGTGATAGCTTCAATGAAATTTATAAAAAATATGTTGCTATAGCCTGATTTTCGAGCCTAAGAATGTATATTTATCACACTGTACATATAACATATCGTATACGGGCAAGTAACAAAGGCAGCGCTAAGTTTTCATACACATTTTATATTCCTCTTTATCCCCAAAGTGGATTATTCCAATAAGTAACACATTAATGAAAAGACTGGAATGCTTCGCAACAAAACACGTCTCGCCATATGACGCTCAAGGAATCTGATACCTATTATGTTCAGTAACTTGCATCTAAAAAAGGAATATTACCCTACTAAAATCAAAGAAAAATATTAAAAAACGTAAAAGTTGAAAAAAATGACTTTTTTAATTCGCTTCCTGTAGCGACCGGAAGTACTCACGATGCATGAAAAGGCAAACCCGCATATTTAGAAGTCATGTTCTATGCTCTCCAACAATTCTTTAGTTCATATCTTTAGCCGTTCTTTAGATCTCGTGCAGATAAAATTTCATTTCAAAATCAGAAAAATGTCTATAACTTGAAACCAGAAACGAATTTCTCCAAAACTCTTTCAAATGTAACAATGGCATTTTATGGCGCATTATCCCTGAAAGTTTGATGAAGGACCATTGAATAGTTCTGGAGATATTGTGTGCACAAGATTTGTCTAAAAAATCTATTTTTAAAATGTCTTCTGGTGGACAATTTTAAAAACAAATTATATACTAAGCATTATGATAAAAGTCTCTATTACCCCTATTAAGATCAAAGAAAAATATTGAAAACATAAAAGTTGAAAAAATTGCCTTTTTAAATTCGCTTCCGGTAGCGACCTGAAGTACTGACTAGGCACGAAAAGGCAAACCCGCACATCTAGAAGTGATGTTCTATGCTCTCCAACAAGTCTCCAGTTCATATCTTTAGCCGTTCTTTAGATCTCGTGCAGATAAAATTTCATTTTAAAATCAGAAAAATGTCCATAACTTGGAACCAGAAGCGAGTTTCTCCAAAATTCTTTCAAATGTAACAATGGCATTTTAAAGTGCATTACCCCTGAAAGTTTGATGAATAACCACTGAATAGTTCTCGAGATATTGCGTGCACAAAATTTGTCCTAAAAATAAGAATAATAACTAGAAACTCATTGCGAGCAATGAGAGGTCTTCCGTCCAATTCTGAAAAAACACACGAAAATTCAAGCCGAAAAAGAGATAAAAGAAATTTGTGGAAATTCAACATGGAAGCCACTGCACAAGCGCAATTTTACCAGCCATCATCAATGTTAACTTTGTATCATTGCCTGAAGTAACGAGCGTCAGGGAGGTTAAAAGTTTTTTTATATAG